GCCTCCAGGCCAACTGGCTGTGAGAATCAGCTGTGACTGCAGTGGGAAAACTTCTGTCCTCTGGGGAGGTGCTAATCCAGCCTTTGCCTGAGGCTATCGGCAAATGGCTCTGTGCAGGGCTTGGGCAGGGCGGTCTCACGGGATCAAACAGGGCGGGTGGAGGGAGCAGTTATGGCTGCTCTCAGTCCCGTCCCCAGAGACTCTGCCTCTCAGAGTCCCAGCAACTGCTGCAAACCTCGGAGAGAAAGCTGCCCTCGCGTTCCGACCGATGCCAGACAGTCCCGCTTCTCCCGTTTGAGTCTGGGTCCCCAGAGACTCACCCAGAACTGGAGCTCAGAATCTGAGACCTCCTCCGATTGAAAACAACAACCGTGCCCTCACCTACCAGCCTGCTCCGCGAGTACCTCCGCACCTTTGTATTTTCCGCACTGCGCCTCCTCTGTGTCTCGTATGCTGTTCTCTTTCCTTCTAGTTGAAGAATTTCCCCTCAGCCAGTCTTCCTGTGGTTCTGGGTGATGTCCATTCCGTCTTTTAGTTGTATTTTGAAGTGGTTGTTCGAGGCAGCTAACTCTGGTGTTTACCTATGCCGCCATCTTGGTTTTTCCCCTCAAAGAGATTTTTAATATTTACTATGTACCTGGGACGTAGAGGATATGTTTAAGTAAACATTTGTTCATTTACTTGACTGAATAAATAAAGAGGTACCAATGTACATTTGACCCCATGTTTTTGTTTTTAAGGAATTCTTATCTATCTATCTATTTATTAAAAAAAGGTTAAAAGGATTTAAAGCAACATGTTAACAGGAGTATTTCTGGGAGGTAGGATGGTGTGACTTTATTTTTTTATTTTGTTTCTAACTTATTATGAAAATGTTTAAGTAAACAAACGACAGAATAGTACAGTGAACACCTGTATCCTCTGCCTAGATCTGACAGTTTTGCACATTTCCTTTATCATCCTCTCTCTCTCTCTCCCCCCCTCCCCACAGGAGCAGGCAGGCACACCCATACCCATCCCCCTAAATACACACACACACACACACTTCTTTTTGCATCTCTATTTGCAAATTAGTTACAGACATTATAACACTTCCCGTAAACATTAAAAGTATGTATCTCCTAAGAATATGATCTTCTATTAATCGTAGCATTATTATTACACCAAAGAAAGTTAGCAATTTCATGATAACAACAAATGTTCTGTCCCTATTTATGTTTCATCTCTATTTAACTTTCCCACTTATACTAAGAATATCTTACAGCTTTTTATTGAGAAAGCCAGAGCCAATCAAGGATTACACATGGCATTAAGGATCCTTTCTCTCTCTCTCTCTCTCTCTCTCTCTCTCTCTATCTCCCTCTCTCTCCCAAAAAACACAATATATTTATTAATAAATGATTAACCTTTACATATTTTATTTTTTACTATAGAAATATTTATAACAAAAATTTCTATTTAAACCATTTTCAAGTGTACGATTCAGTGGCACAATGTTGTGCAACCATCACCAATATCAGTTTCCAAAATGCATTACCTCAAACAGAAACTGTATACTCATTAAGAAACAATTCTCCAATTCTTCTTTTCCCCAAACCCCTGGAAATTTCTAATCTCATTCTGTCTCTTTATGAATTAGTCTATTCTAGATATTTCACATAAGTGGGGTCATATAGTATTTGTTCTTTTGTACCTGGCTTCTTTCTAGCATAATGTTCAAGGTTCATCCGGGTTGTGGCCTATATCAGAACTTCACTCCTTTTTATGGCCAAATAATATTCCATTGTGTTTATATATACCACATCTGCGTAGTCATTCTTCTATGGGCAGGTGGGTTGTTTCCATGTTTTAGCTCTTGTTAATAATGATGCTGCAGTGAATGTTGATGTCTGTTTGAATCCCTGTGTGTTAGTCAGGGTTCTCCAGAGAAACAGAACCAATAGTGGTGTGTGTGTGTGTGTGTGTGTGTGTGTGTGTGTGTGTGTGTGTTTAAAATATATTTTATTGATTTTTTTTACAGAGAGGAAGGGAGAGGGATAGAGAGTTAGAAGCATCGATGAGAAAGAAACATCAATCAGCTGCCTTCTGCAACACCTCCTATTGGGGATGTGCCTGCAACCAAGGTATATGCCCTTGGCCGGAATCGAACCTGGGACCTTTCAGTCCCCAGGCCGATGCTCTATCCACTGAGCCAAACCGGTTAGGGCTAAAAACATATTTTTTAAAAAGAAATGTTTTCTTTAAAATTACAGTAGGTTTTGAAAACATTTTACTATGAAGGTAAGAGAGCTTATAACTTACTTAGTTGTCTGTGACTCCCCTGAATTTAACGTGCAATTAAGTCAATTTTAAGGGCAGTGCAAGACCTTTCTAAGATGATGAATGTAAACACCTTTCTCATCACAAAGTAAACAAAAGTAATTATGATTATTTGAACTGCTTATATTAGTAAAAAAAGCATAAGAAAAATCTCTTCATATGCACTAGTTTTGCTTAGTCACCTAAATCCCAAATGTGTAAATCATTTCCTTCTTTAAATACTGTGTGTATTTCATCTCTGTATGAATAAATTGCTGCTTTTATCAAGTGTCTGATAAGGTAGTCTTAAGTTAAAATCATGTTTTTATTTTGTTTCTGGGGGTTTGCATCAACCTGGGTCCAATCAGGAGAGAGAATTCACACCATAATTCGAACCGGGAACGTTTAATATGAGAATTGTTCATTCTAACAAGAGATTGTTGTAATGAGAGGTTGGGTAGTAAGAAGTCAAGAGAGCTCTAAAAACTACAAGAATAACAGATATAAGAAGCAGTTAGACAAAATACCCGCGGGAGAGCCTCCTTGTCCCCAGGACTGAGATATAGACCTTGCTGGAGGCTTGTGCCTCTCCAGGGTCCCGGAGGAATCTGTTCACGAAGGTGTCTCACCAGGGACCCTCCACTACAAAACTGCCTGCGTGGTTTGCTGGGGAACTGCAGGTGGCTGTGTGCTGCTGACCACTGTCCTCTACAGGAGTTGAGTGCTGGGGGCTGGAGACTCCATGCTGCA